GCGTCACAGGCGTCAGTGTTCAAAATAAAGGGTAGGTCGAAATCTGGATGTGATGCTATGACCTATAATGGCGTCCAGATATGTTCCCACGGCAATCCTGCAATAAAAGTCGTTATTAAACGCGGAAAGGTTGCCGGCATGTTGCACCTCCCGAATAGAACAACTTGCGAATGCCGTCGTTGGTTTGTTCTCAGGATCCATAATTTTTTACAATCAAATAGGGAGACAAAAGATGCAGTGTTGGAAACCACTTTGCGGTACCAAGCGTGTCCAAAGAGTCATCAGTGAAGGGAAGTCGCTAATCAACGCATAAGCGACTGCCATCTTTTCTTCGTACCAGGGCAATTCCCGATGCCCAATAACTGGACGAGGGTTCTGTGATTCCCAATACCAACATCTTCGTTACCTGCTTATCAGCCTCTAGAAGTAAAGGATTAGTTAGAAATGGCATCTTGCTTACTGTATCACTCTTGTGCTTTACGACATCTTTTTGTCCCAAATCTGAGTCATTCTTGGAAAACAGCTCGCTGTTTTTCAACAGCAGATCTCGCACTGCCTTAATCTTCGTTTCATCCAGGTTGCTAGTGATGTCTTTAAAAAGTTTCCCCTGATGGTATGAAGAACTATTCAATTTGTTCATCACGATTGCATATCTCACCACGTCTGCTACTGTTTCAAAATGGCAGATTGCGGTGCGTTTGGATAATACCTGAACCTCTTGGGCCACGTTCAGCAACCTGACTGATATTGTACCTGTTGCTTGTTCTAGACGTCGTGCAATAGCATTTCTGGTTGCGGCAGTCGAATGCTGTGGAGCAGATAGATTGACCTGCTTTGACCTGTTGATAACCTGAAACCATATTTGAATAAGCTGGAGTGTTGTTTGACCAGTTGCCCTGGATATGTCAGTCTTTGCCGAATTGAAAGCATTTGTTGTCCCTTGTCGGCTTCGTCTAGTTCTTGATTCTTTTCCATTCTTTTTCCGCATCAGCTGTTGTCGTGCAAACTCTGTTGTCGAACCTAAAAGGTTCGGCCTTCTCTAACACCATTCATTCCACGGCTGTTAGAGTACCAGGTCGAATCTGTTTCACATTTAGCTATATCGCCTTACCTGTCAGCAAATCTATGCCAGTTGTATTAGCGTTAATATACACTGCTAAAGTTCTGGCAAACTTTCACCTGACTTCAAACAACGACTCTTCAGCTGTGGGTAATACAACTCTGTTTGGTAAGGTGATAATCGTTGCCGTAACCTGACTGATAACTTTCTGAAGTCTGCATTATGATCTGCTGGGAGGTTTACCTAATACGCCTAGCACCAACCCCCTTAAGATCACTGCAAAGTGCATGCCTCTTTCACTGTCCGTCCAGCAGTTTAAAGATGCTCACATTTCACACGTCATGTAGTCTAACCATGTTGTTAAACCGTCGTACGTTATTGAATAAACTTTTGATTTCGGTTGGACTAGTTGTTCAGTTATATTGTGCAACATCTGTCGTGAATGCCGTGAACAATCATCAGGTCAGAAGTTATGTCCATGTTGCCATTTGAGTCTACGCCACTGAAATTCCCTGTCCAGTATTGTTTGCTTTAAGTCATCGCCGGGCTTAGTAGTCATTCATATATTACCAACTTATTTGCATAGTATCTGGTGCTCTCTGATTTTCTGTTGTCAACTGCGAATCCTTTAGAGAGACCTCCAATGTTATTTTACGTCGACTTACGTCACCTCCCGTTTTAATGTTTAGTTTCCTAATTTACCTCCCTTAATAAACAGATTGCGCCTGGTTGTTACTGCGCAATTGATCTCATCAATCTCCCACTGAAGTAGTTCTATTGCTATCTACAAATCTTCAGGTTTTGATGATATGTTAAGGCAGTAAACCACTGCCACCAAACTTGTAACAGTTCATCGTATGTTCTTACCATCGATCTTCCTTCTTAGGTTCCGATGTTATATCTTGTTAAACAAATAACTAAACAAAAACTGCCAGTTGAAAAATTGATTACGAGAACCCATAATAAATAAACACGGGAAGCTGAGAGAGGGAGGGAGGGAGGGAGAGAGAGAGAGAGAGAGAGAGAGAGAGAGAGAGAGAGAGAGAGAGAGAGAGAGAGAGAGAGAGAGAGAGAGAGAGAGAGAGAGAGAGAGAGAGAGAGAGAGAGAGAGAGAGAGAGAGAGAGAGAGAGAGAGAGAGAGAGAGAGAGAGAGAGAGAGAGAGAGAGAGAGAGAGAGAGAGAGAGAGAGAGAGAGAGAGAGACTCGTCCTACATCTAGGTGTTATCCCCCGATGTACGTCATTATTCTTGCGATGTCAGGGGCCGATATGTATCCCCTTCATGTCATGGAGCCGTCTGTTGGGATATATAAAAATTAGCATTTTAAGATGACGACTTTTGTAAACTCGCCACCACCGATCAGCGGTAGATATTCACCTAAGTGAACCCACACAATACGACGTAATCCTATACAGGTAACAGTACAGATGATACGCAATTAACATAAATACAGGTTACATTTTACAGGTAATCACCGATTAACACAAATACATGTGGCCAATCATTATTGACCCAGTGTTATCAATAGACTCACCTTAGAACTCTACTTCAAATCTACAACCTGTTAAAATTTATACCTTTCACATCGAATACACAATGTCTTATCTTTGTATCGTGAAATACTCTTTCTTTATGATAGCAATAGTCATCATTTTGTATTATGTGACACTTCGCTGCTAATCTGAACGTGAATACCGCTTAGCCTGTAATTTTTGCGTTGGCGATATTTTCGCTATTTCTCAGTACATTAACGTGACCGCGAAAATTATATTTTGACATAATAAGACATTGTGTATCACATGTCATTTTAATTACAGCTCGCGATTTTGACCCGTTAGCATCACGGGTATTAATATTCTCGTTATATCGAACTTTCAACACAAGAGACGAAGTATACTGTTATTTGATCATTTATTTGTTAATTTTATGTAAATTATATATATATAAGTTTTTTCTCCCTTACGACTGCTTATGTCGTTCGATGCTAAAGCTCGACAAAGATACCATATTTGTATGTATTTTCCTCTCGATTAGAACGGATGTCATATAAACTTGATAAAGAGAAGGATGCAATGGCTGACTGACTTATTTTTGTATTACATTGAGAACTAACAACAACATCCAGGGTGTGCTCCTTGCAACCCTAAAGAAGTGTGCAAAAGACAAGTGAATAACTCTTTTCGAGACAAATTTACAGACCTCCCCTCAGTTAGCCCCACTTTATGTTTTTACCTTAGATGTAAGTTTGAAAACAAGAAAATATAAACTTATCTACATAATCATAATCAAAATTCAAATTTCCCAGGATACACTTCCATCTTGATAAACTTGGACAAAATATGAACAAGATTTACACGTAGACTTCTGAAGAAAGTGTAGGGAGAATAGACTAAGTGTTCCAAAAGAGTAAGTCTCTTCTGCTTCATCGTCAGACATCCGTCATGGCAATCTTGGAGAGTCTAAGTCAATAATATCATGTTCTGAAATGAGAACAAGGTATACAACAATGGAAACACTAGGTCAGCTAACGAGCATCAAGCACGTCCAACTTCATTTTTTACAAAGAACATAGATTATTCCGCAATGAGATCACAATGGTTACCGTGAAAGTTCTTCATAATTTTCTTGATGAACATATCACTTATTCTCCTTGTACTTTTTCATGAGTTCCTGTGTAAATCTTTCGTTCGTTAATTTTTTCTCATCGTTTTATCGAATATGAGTTTGGATTATGATTATGCTGACATGTTGGTATTTTCTTGTTGTTTTCCAGAATGTCACGTCTGTTGTTCTTGAGAAACGCACTCAAAACCATCAGCTGTTATTATTTAATGTAGGCCTCCCATTGTGTACAAATGGAATGCATGTGTTTTCGGAAGGCTGTGATACGCCCGCGTAAGCGTCCATGTGTTATTACGGAATTGAACCTACTTTGTAGTGTTGTCACACTGAAGTATACTGCCAAAATATACGTTCAACTCACATTATACTTATTAGACTACGACGATAATGAACTTTGAGCATGGAACAGCAATTTCAATACTAAAATAACTCTGGTATATTTCGGCTGGGATGTTTGATGTGTATGGTTCATATAGGTTTATATTCATAGTGAATATTGCAGGAATGATAGAACAAAGAGTTCCAGCGTTATCCTTCCATATAACATACGAAGACGTAAACTCATCCCCTAAAAACGCTACATAGAGGAAAATATATCAGCTGATTGTAATACAATTAACTTCCTTGGAGACCAATGACTTACTGTCGGTATCATAGAAAATCTATATATACAATTAGTGCAAGCAAAGTATCTCTACATCATTCTGTTTAACTTTGGGCTCATTTGTCTAGCCGATATGACTGATTTTGTTGAATTCAATAACTTGTTGTTTCATGATGTTAAGAGAGAAACAAACTGAAACAGAGCGGATACCGAAAATAATTTACTTCAGGTTTCTTCAAATTCTGTAACGAAATGACAGCTTCATAAATATAGAAATTATTTATACACACATGGAAAGGTATGATATGTCAATAAGTAGGTAGAATCAATCATATTAGATATGTCGTTCTAACAGTCATCACCATCAATATCACATTCATCATGACAAAAAAGTATTTCCGGGAGGAGCACATTCATTACTCAAACATGTCTTGTATTTTAAGCGTTTCGAAACAATTAATTCAGTAATGTTGTAAGAATGTCAACACGTTTGACCATTGTGTAGAAAATATCTCGATTTAGTCACAAAAGTTAGTGGTTGTCCGTTAACTGAAAAAAAAATCCCAGGCACATATTCTTTATTCTGTGCTTTGCTTCAGTAGCGTTGAAAACATATCCACAGATTCATTGCACCAGTAAATCTGGTCGTTGTGACAAAATGATTCATCAGTCTGAGTGTCCATCACAGCGACAAAGTATTCTCCATTGATATAGTCTACTGTTCTATGTTATTAGCCGCATTGCGTTTCCCCCAAGAATTAAAGCCACTCCAGTTTGACCTTTTCCCCCACGTTGCCAAATTCGACCAAGGGTTCCGTTTCCCCCATGAATTGAAGCCACTCCAGTTAGACCTCTTTCCCCAGGACGCCATGCCAGTCCACTTCCGTTTAATGGCCTCCAGTTCATCACTTGTTAATTCCTCTGCTCGCTTTCCCCATGCACTTAGCTGGTTCCACTTCCGTTTTGGCAGTAGATCATCAGGCATGTTTTCATCATTGCGTTTACCCCAAGATGCATATCCAGTCCATTTCCTTTTATCCACATTCTCAGTTCCCTCATCTAACCCGTCCGTGGAATCACTTTTCCCCCACATGTCAGTGTGTTTCAAATCAAGGTTGCCTTTATTGTATACCATTGCTTGTTCCGGTGACATTTCCGGTTCAAGGCTATCCTTGTTGGATTCGTCAGTTGTTGATGGGTCGTAAGAACGCTTTCCCCACGACTGAAGACGAGCCCAACGTCGTTTACCCCACGGGGACAGGTTGAGTAGCATTCTTTTACCCCATGAATTAAATTTTTGCCAGCCTCTTTTATCTTTCTCGGTTTCGTCCACTGCTAATGTATTAATTAAGTTTGATAAGGCTTCTTTAGAGTCACTGTCTAATACACCACGCTTCTCCCGAACAGCTTCCACAGAACTGATTTTCTTGTCGACGCCTTCTTCTGACTTTACCATGCAGTAAGCGGTCTTCAGAATAAGCAGGGTGATACAAAGCAATCTTGTGATGGATATTTGAATATGCATTTTTTATTGAAGATGAGTGCACGCCTGAAAAATATAACAAAAAAAGCATAATTAGTCATGACATATTTCCTCTTCATCATCGACAAAAAATACACACACCCCGTCATAGCATAAAGATATTGCCGGAAGCATACACAAAAAGGTAATCAGTTTCTTTTTCGTATCATATTGGGGAAGGTTATTGTTGGAAAGATCCCTTCCGACACCCTCCCCACCCAAAGGTCAGAGCTGAGTACATGTGGAGACTATGTTCAGGCAAGTATCCAGGATACATTCCGGAACTAAACGGCTACAGTGAGGTAGCTTATAGTAGATGTTTTGGTGGGGGTTATGATTTTAAGTACCTAACGCCATACAAGACAATATCATTCGATTGATGGTATTAGTATACTGTAACATCATAACCTCGATCTAATAGTATGATGGAGATTAGGTTAAGACGTCACAGGTCTTATTCACTCTCATTTAAGGATGACCGCAGAAATTACAGATCATTTAGGCTCGGTTGTCTGGACCTGATGGCAAAAATAATAGTGTTTCTCGTCTTAGTGAGCGTTCAATACCCATAAGAAAATGCCACCTGAGGCAGTACAAATGTTGGTTGTGGTTTTAAAGTCAAGTTGTACTGGTTTAACATTCTATCCACAGCTTAGATCATATAAAGACGGCATCCTGATGTATGTTTGGTGAGAGCGTGTGTTTCATGCATGTTTTATCTAAAATGAGGCAAATATAGTGAAAATATCGTCTTGAATACACTTGTATTTGCTATCAACATTTTCCACAGAGGAAGCAAGTTCTAATCCTTTACTCATTGTAAAGACAATTTATTTTTCTTAACCTAGTCCATAAAACTGCGCCCCGTTGGGATTGGTATTTGAGTGAAACGTTCGCTCTCTGCGCTTCTGTGTGTGTTCTCTCAAAGACATTGGTGTCAAATAGTGATGTCAAATAAAGATGCCTAATGCTCGTTGAAAGATCAATTTGCGACTATTTATATCTAGGTGATATGACTTTTGACATTTTAACCATCGAACTCATCCAATGTTAGGGTTAAATTTCGTGTATTTTCGTCAGCTTACATCAACATGTCATACGAAGCCTTATACAGATAAGTACTATAGTAAAGGATTGGAAAAACCAAAATATATGTTTAAATCTTGAATTACTGAAACAATTTATATCAACTTATATTTATCACTATCTTAAGCCCAGATAAAATTGCGTCAACTCCGTGGTATTGCAGGAAGCAAGAGAAAACGCGAGTATTCGGATGAATGACAAATATACTATCACGTCCGATGATGGAACGCTCGGTGTTTATTGTGCATCATCTATTGACAAATCGACTATTCGGAAAGATCGCCGTGATGTGTTCGTTTGCGGCTGTATGTCCACACATTAGAACCTGTCAGGTCTTCTCTACAGTGCAAAAACACTGACATGTAAACTGAACAGGGAGGCATGAAGTTGACGTTAAAGACTAAGGAGAAAAATTGCGCATCCAACATAATTCTGTAAAAATGGGAAGACGTTAACACTGTTAAGTTAAGTTGTTTTCTTAATTTATTTGAAAATTAAGACACAGGCCCTACGCGCTAACCTGCTCTGGTGCACTTATAACTGTTTTACTGCTTAAATAACATTGCTATCATGGCTTTTTATATACAACATTCATTTCTTCATTATGTTTATACTCTAATAGCTTTGCAGCTTAGAATTAACACTAGCACATAAATATAATATAAAATGTATAAGGAAAGAATGCAAGTATTAGAAGAATGAAACAAAGCCACCATACATTGACTATACATCAAGAATGTTTACTTCCGAATATAACTCAGACTCAGAATTTATTTCAACCTGAATTAACCCGGCAAGCTTGATCAGGAATAACACGAGATTGATCTAATAGGATACATGATTCAGATATAACGTTTGATGTTTGTTTATTACCCGCTTATAAGTCTGAAATACCGGAAAAGATGGTAGAACATGGATGCTGATAATTCTCTTGCTTACTGATCCGACAACTCCAGTGAAGTGGAAAGGATGACTGACAGATAGTGGCGATTTTTAACAGACTATCATGATAATTTACACAGGAAAAGATAGGTAATTGATAAAATAACTAGCTCCAAAATATAAGATTTTAAAATTAAAGATCTTTTTAAAAACGTCTACTTAATTAAATGAAAGAGATAATTGTTTAAATACGTATTTTTTTGTTGTTTATGTATTCTAGTTGACTGACAAAGTTTGCAAAAATATATCACCTTGACACTTATTCAAGGTCACAGGGGTCTGACTTGTTAAACTTTTCACACAACTTATTGGCAATAACCAAAAGGCATATTTCTGAGTGACTGGCCACCAGGTGGTTCTGTAGACGAAGCGGGATAAATTTTGCGAAAGGAATTAATCTTTTTTTTTTACATATATACTTGAAGGTCACAGAGGTCGCATTCATTATAAATCTTTAAATGTCTTCTCATTTCTTACTTACTTAAATCTATAATGTTGCATTTATATATTTTAGATTTTACTACTTATAGTACCAACTATGTGAATAGTTCATGGTGAATTTAACTTTGATCATTTCTTTCCAGACAACATTCTCACCTAAAACCTCCCGTTCCGTCAATCATGAAGATGCTATTACTGTTAGCATCAGAACAAGACAATCGATTAAGATACTTAGTGAAGCCACGTTTAACAATTTAGTAACACTAAGCAATAGAAAAGTCGTTTACACAATTTAATTCTTCAGTCAACATATACCTGTATCTAGCGCCTGCGTACCACTGGGTTTGCTCATTACTTTGTGTGAAGCCAGAACATTCCTAAATAATGCTTAGTCAGATGAATTAGCATCAACAGTCAAACAGCAGTGTCGATCGTTTTAGTATAACTATAGCATGTTCTTCTGTATTGTCACCTTCAACCACCTTTAACAGAATTGCTGATTGTGGGCTGTTCAAGAGCTTTAAATCATTGCTATAAAAAGTTAGTAAATTGGAATTTACATGTTCAGGAAATATAAAAATACCACTGACAACAGCTGCATGATTTCAAGACGTTACAGAGTATAATTAAAAAAAAAAAAAAAAAAAACCCGCCAGAGTCATTATTGCTAAAGACCTTTTGGGTTTGAAATTAATGAAGGCTGAAACTAACTTAAGTGACTACATGACTTTATAATTGAATATATCGTGATGAAACCTCTTCAATCAATTACCAATGATATAACAAAAAGGCAGTGCTGTCGAAAAAAAAGTAATTTGAAATTTCCAACAGCGTGATATTTTCGTTACAAAAACACTTAACGTAATAACCATTTTATCACAATTTTAATGATTTCACATAACATTTTGCCTAAGCTGGATTAAATGAAGAACTTAGCATTATCAGTAAACTTTTAAATTCTTCCTAATTATCAAATGAATAAGTATGTAGAGGAAGTCCTATTGGCGTAAATAATTAAATTATTGATGTTTTCGTTGATGTTTTTGGAACACGAGTCACTTAATTAAATGAAACAGTGATATTTTCTTGTGTTAATGGGTCGTAGAATATGGAGATAACAGGAATTAAGAGAAATTCGAAAGATATCTGTATTAAATATACCGAAAGCACATTTCCTAACGTAAAGATGGAGCTGTTTCTTAAAAAAAATGTTATAGACATTAGGATAGCTATATAGAGTATAGCAAATTATCATCAATATGTCTTAACCCATCTTTGATTTCATCATTATTGTATTCTGAAAACATTCATTAAACATGAAAACGGATAATTGGGTCAGGAAATGTAGACAAAGTAGACAAAAAGATAACGCTTTTAAATAGACAACGATTTTCACAAGACATATAAGTAAATCATCACATATACAGTTTATGATAAAACAATTGGTAAAGGTAATGTTTAAGGATAGTCACTAATCAATATATATCTACTGTATAAAACTGAAGATTAAAAGTTGTTATTGACGAGAGCATACAACGCAAACGAAACTGTAACGTTAGCTGAAGTCGTTGTGGAACACTGGTAAGATCTCTGCTAATACTTAAATATAGCAAGATGAACTTGTTAAAATAATATAACGAGAACATTGCAAAAACGTATATGTTAGGTCTAACGATAAGTCAATTTCAAAAATACTTTCTTGCCTTCGTCTGTAAATGTTAAGTTTAGTTTATTTTTGGTTCAGGACTTGTCATAGTCCTCTTTACCAGACTCATTACATTAATAAAATACATATATCCGGTACTGGATTTGATATCTAATTCTGGATTGATGCTTTATAATAAAGAAAAGTTCTTGGTTTTTCCAGCGATCATCTAGTCGGTTTTTAAATAACATTCCCAGCAGCTACAACGTTTTCTGGTAGTTCATTCCAAATTTTTACTGTTCTGTTTGAAAAATGTTTTTTTTCTTAGCATAGTTGTGTTGTTAATATCTATTACAAAAGCCATTATATTTTTGTAAACTGGTTAGTTTATATCTGTAGGTATTTATAAAAAAACAATAACAACTGACTAGTGATGTGTTATGTACAACACTTGTGAGAAAGACATTTCGTATATAATTCGGTTTCCATGTATTTCAGGCCTAACTCCTTGTTTTCCTATTGGACGAATTGTCCGACTAAAGTTGGTTATATGATACCATACTTAATTACCTCATAACACCGCCGCTTGATGTCTGTGATTATATTTAGTAAGTGTAACTCAGAGTGGGTTTATGTTCTAGCGTGAGGGATAATTTGGCAAAAGTTAGAGTCGATCAACCGCATATCAAGCAGAGTAGGGCAACATGACTTTACATAGTCTATCACTTATCATCGTTACAGTTGGATTCTCCTATTTCTTGCATCGTGACAACCCGTGCATGTACTTCTAACAACGGAGCATTTCATACTAATATGACTAAAGAATACCTTGGAGTCTACAATTTGATGTCTTTAGATACTATTCAGAATATATGTACTTTCGTACTCA